CTGTACGAGATTCAGGGCATCAATTAGATCTAAAAAATCTCTTGTTTGTTTTTTAGAAGTATCCTCTAAGTGAAAGTTGACGTCACCTAGTAAGAGAATCTGTCCAGGAAGAGTTGTTAGGTATTCCATGAATATTTCAAACTCGGAGAAAAACTGAGCAGTAGTAAGGCCATTTGTGATGGATGGTGGAGGACGGTAGATGTTAATAATCCTTATCCATTTAGAGTTAATCTTCTATGGTATATACAACCCTAAGAATAACAAAGAAAACCTAGTGAATTGGAAACTAATCGTTATATGCCGCTCATTGAATCCAATTATGAGGACTCTAGGCTTGCTACATCGAAGTCTGCTCCTAACCAACTCAATTCTGGATCCTACTCTCGATTGTTCGACTCATATGGTATCAATCCTAGAGGTCGAAGAGCTGGGAAAAAAGTCAAACAGCGAGAAACTCATCAAAGAAACGCTATCAAAACCATCGTCACGCACCATGAACATGAATCACCATCTCGCTTTAGGGGAGTCAATACAGATAATTTAATCCAAATCAAACCCCAAAATGTGCCTGTGCGCAAGGAAAAGTTGCTGTCAATGGCTGTAATCAACTGCAGATCATTAAGCAAAAATGGCTTCAAACTCAAGGACCATATAGTAGAATATGACTGCGACATTGTAGCGGTGACTGAGTCATGGCTTCCATGTGAAGATATCTTAGCCAATCACATTACTGGTGATGCATGCCCAAAAGGGTATAAAATGTTCCATACGCCTCGAGACTCTGGTCATCGTGGGGGAGGTGTTGGCCTCATTTTTAAAACAAGTCTTGATATTCGTGTTCCTGCGATTGATGAACCATCCACCATGCCGAAGTTTAAATCTTTCGAACACTCGCATCATCTCTTGAAGATTAACTCTAAATGGATAAGGATTATTAACATCTACCGTCCTCCACCATCCATCACAAATGGCCTTACTACTGCTCAGTTTTTCTCYGAGTTTKAAATATTCATGGAATACCTAACAACTCTTCCTGGWCAGATTCTCTTACTAGGCGACGTCAACTTTCACTTAGAGGATACTTYTAAAAAACAAACAAGAGATTTTTTAGATCTAATTGATGCCCTGAATCTCGTACAGMTYGTAAACAAGCCAACACACCGACTGGGACACACTCTGGACTGTATTATAACTGAACAGAATTCTAACTTAATAGATAACATCCAAGTGTACAGTCCATGGATTTCTGACCACTGTCTTGTAGCCTTCAATCTTTCGATACAAATTCCTTCATTATGCTATAAATCCGTTACTACTCGAAACTGGAAGTCTTTAAACCTGGATCAACTCAATTCTGACATTATGGATGCTGATTTCGGAAACTCGTCTAACTCAGTATCTGAATGTGTTCGCCACTTTGACCATATGCTTVATAAATTGATTGACATTCACGCCCCAGCGCGAAACAAAACCATCTTATTACGTCCACGTGCTCCATGGTTCACCCATGAGCTTAGTATKGAAAAGAGAGAGAAACGCCGCTTAGAGCGAAGATATCGCAACACAGGTAAAACTGAAGATGAGTTACGTTTTAAAGAACAATCTGCCCGCTACTSYCAACTGCTCTCCATCACCAGGGAAACGTTTTACAACAGCAAGATTGTTGAAAACGCAGGTGMCCAGAAGGCCCTATKTTCCGTGGTAAATAAACTGCTGCACCGAACGGGTGAGACTCAGCTGCCAGCTCATGACAATCTGAATGAACTTACCAACAGATTTGCTGATTTCTTYATCAWCAAGATCCGAAACATACGTTGCGAACTTGGTGATGCTCGTCCCTACAGGGAGTCTGAAATTTCTACGGCCGTCCCTTGCAAGTTAACAGCTTTCTCTCCTGTAACAACCAGTGACATCCAATCTTTAATCAACAAGTCCAACAACAAAWGTTGTAGCCTCGACCCAATTCCGACCTGGTTGCTTAAGAACTGCCTACCATCATTACTACCTATTGTTACTAATATTGTGAATCAGTCTCTTGAATCTATCATGCCATCGTCTTACAAAGAAGCCGTCTTAACCCYGATACTGAAGAAACCTKATATGGATCCTGAAAGCTTGAAAAACTACAGACCTGTATCCAACCTTCCTTACGTCTCAAAACTGATCGAGAAGGTTGTATCTAAGYAAATAACTAGCTACGTCCATACTAACAACCTTGAAGAGGCGATGCAATCAGCCTATCGTGCGAATCACTCCACAGAGACTGCGTTATGCAGACTTCACAACGACATCGTATCATCGCTCGATCGAAACGAGCGTGTCCTGTTAGTATCACTAGACCTGTCTGCTGCTTTTGATACAANTAGTACACTGGTACGATAGTACACTGGTACGCTAGTACGCTAGTACAATAGTACACTGGTACGATAGTGCACTAGTACGATAGTACATTAGTATAGTACGCTAGTACAACAGTACACTAGTACAATAGTACACTGGTACGCTAGTACACTGGTACGATAGTACACTGGTACGATAGTACACTGGTACGCTAGTACGATAGTACACTGGTACGATAGTACACTGGTACGCTAGTACGCTAGTACAATAGTACACTGGTACGATAGTACACTGGTACGATAGTGTACCGTACGATAGTACGATAGTGCACTAGTACAGTACGCTAGTACAATAGTACACTGGTACAATAGTACACTGGCCATGGTACGCTAGTACACTGGCACGCTGGTATGCTAATACGACAGTACACTAGTACTTCAGTACCCTGGAACGGTAGAGGGTTAATATAATAGTCCGCTGATACGCTAGTACGACAAAACGCTCGCGTGCACTAGTGCGATAGAACGCTTAGTAAGGAAGAACATTAGRAAGAGGGAACGATAGTACTCTAGTATGCTGTTGCTGACAATAGAACGCTAGTACGCCAGTACGCTAGTACGACATAACATTTGTGCGCTACTGCATTATGATGAAGTCGTTCGGCTAGCACGGTGGTAGGCCAGAACGCCAGAACTAGAGGACTTAACATTATAAAGCGCAGCGGACGTAAGAACGTCAGACCTTCAAAATAGTATCACATGTTGAAAGGTACTTGTTGTGTGACTCACGCAAAGAGCTCATATCGTTATGATATCGTGACATAGACTCTAAACAAATGTCCTTTAAGACACTAGATGAATACTCTTTTTGCTTACCCCATTTCCAGTGAATTACATTTTTGTGAGATGTACAAAGGAAAATCTTGAATTTTGAACTTTTTGGAAATACGTGTAAAGTTTTACTAGGTGCAAACAGTTGTTATCCTGTCCCCTAGGGTTCTGGGGTACAGTTGAAGCCTTTGACGCTCGACATCACGGCACTTGTCACGTCCTCTCCCCGTCTCGGCTGATTTAGGGACACGCCAGAGCGAGGCATTTCCGTTGGTGCATGAGTTGAAAGTACCGTGCATCGGTAGGCTGGAATATTTTGATCTTCTGACTAAAATATCTCGAAAAATATTTTTCACTGCAGTCTGAACATTGGTGGCAAGTGAGAATAGGTATTGATCGAAAGCTGTACGGAGTTTGATATGTCCATTGGATGAAGTTAAAGGTGTCTTAGAGGCCGTAGTTTAGAGCCGGTTGGCAAATTTCGATCGCTGACTTACCTCCCTTGTCTATTTTTATTTACGAGGGGGGGGGATGGCTTTAAAAATCAATCTTTATTCATAAAACTGTTTATACTAATTAAAGAAAAAAGAAAAGAGAAAGTCTTGAAAAGTCTCAAGAAATGAAGTAGAAAAAAATTACGGCTTCACGAGGGCTCGAACCGCGAACACCGCAATTAATACTTTGACACCGCCGTGAAAGCAACACAACCGTTGAGCCTGGGCCCCCTGTGATTGAGTTGTTGCCTTCGACGAAAGCGGACGTGTTTATTAAAAGAGCTTATACTATTTAATACCATGAGCAAGACAAAAGACTTTAAAAACATCGTTAGAACCCACAGTCATTGTGGAGAACACGCATGAGAGACAAGCACAATGCAGGTTTATATTGCGATTATTGATTTGATTTTCTTTTCTTGTACTGGCTTATATAACTTAAGAGTGTGTCCACGAGAAAACCAGGCAAAACCAGGCAGTGGGTGCTACATGGGGGTCAGCCGATTCTCCTGAAACTTGGCACACTTATTGCATTTAGTAAGTTATTTGACATTCTATATTTTTTTTGAGATCGGTCAAAAGGGGGGGAAGTTAGGTTCCCCCCTGGAAAATGGCCATTTTTAGCACAAAAATTGCACAAATTAACCTCAACTTTGCAGAAGCATAAAAGTGTAACGGTTATTCACAGCAACCTCAAACTTCTT